CCGGACGAACGCGCCGTGGGAGCATAGAGGGCCCCAAAACGGGCCAAGAGGGCCCCCAGTGGGCCCCAAGACGATCCAAGAGGGCCCCGAATAGTCGAATGATCGTTCCAAGACGCCCAAGATAGCATCCAGACGGCCCAAGATGCCTCCAAAACAAGAGGCTTCCAAGAGGCCTCCCAAAAGGCACCGAAGAAAGGAGAATTGCCCCATTCCCATGGAAAAACGTATGTTTTGAACGTATTCGCCTCTTGCGCTTTCATACCGTGACGACCCAACAGACCCCTAGGACAGCTCCAAGACGGCCCACAAGGGTCCCAGGACCGCCAAAGAAGTCCCGATGACGGCCCCAGAGGGCCCCCAGACGGCGCCAAAAAGGGGCCCACGGGGGGAACCCGAACCCACATTTCCAGCCTTCGGCCCCAGGACGCCCCCAGGTTGTCTCAAGAAGCCCCCAACACGCCCCACGAAGCCCCCAAGCAGTCCGAACAAAGCCCCCGAACGCCCGCAAGAACCTCCCAGGAATCGGACAAGCCTCGTGGAATGCAGTCCTGGACGCGCAGTAGTGTATAGAGGGGCCAGCGGCTGTGGCGTAAGCCTATCGGATAAACGGGGGTAAACTGCTTTGGGGGGATCTGGTGCGAATGGTCCAGAGGGTCTGGGCAAAAAGCCACCATTCCATGATGGCTGGCCTGGCGGGGGGGTCTGACATTGCTCGTCTGGGAGGGTTGTGACCCCTTTCTTTTTATTGCTACTATATGTGGAACAACCATCGAGCCTCATCAGAAGGGCAGCGGGAGGCGGTAATCTAGCGAGCAATCCGCGGGTATGATATAACAACTTCATCGGCAGAAGAAACAGCAGCGTGGTCAGAGCTCGCGAAAAATCTGTCTCCGAACACCCTCCAAAGCACGACCTTCTGGTGTGTTTCGAGTCGCGTCCAGCGGTGACATTGAGCACTCCCTCCAATTGTCCAACAAACTTCTTTTAACGTAGTCAGCCCGCTGGCTCAAGGGCGTACCAGGCGACTAGCAAAGTCTCAACGAGAGAAACTCTTTGGGCAATTTCTGGGGCCTGGTAGTCACGTGCTGGCGGTGCGAGTGGAGTGTCACAGGGCGCCGCCCTCCCGTGGAAGGCCTCTGCAGACTCTCCGAGGGGGGGGTCTGGAACAGAAACCGGCCGCCCTGGCATTCCGCTTTAGGCCCACCCCCTTCCCAGCTCCCCGACGTCATGACTGTGTTGCAGGACGTCGCCCCACAGAGGTCTGGACCCATCCCCTGGGACTGGCTTCTCATCCCCAGTCGTTGTTGGACGGTTCCGAGCCCCAGTGAGGGCCCCCAGATGGAAGGAAGGAAAAACTATACAAAACATAAACTGTTGGCGCTCCGCCCAAATTTCTTAGATCTGCGCCGGACCCCCCTTCCTGGCGCGCGGAGCGCGCCATGGGCGGCGCCGGAGACGCCGCTGGGAGCGCGAAGCGCCTAAGGTGTATGTTTATCTGTTTTTTCTTCGAAGTAAGGGCCCCGCGACGCCAAGAATAGCGAAAACCCTCCGTCGTGATTTTTTGTCGCAGCTCGACGAGGAGGAGGAGGAGGAGGACGGGTCGCCTAAGCCCTTCGGAGAAACCTTCCACCCCCAGAGGCCAAGAATAGCGAAAACCCTCCGTCGTGATTTTTGTCGCAGCTCGACGAGGAGGAGGAGGAGGCGGAGCAGGAGGGAGGAGGAGGAAGAGGAGGATGGGTCGTCTAAGCCCTTCGGAAAAACCCTCCACCCCCAGAGGCCAAGAATAGCGAAAACCCTCCGTCGTGACTTTTGTCGCAGCTCGAGGAGGAGGAGGGGGCGGAGGAGGAGGAGGAGAAGGAGGAGGCGGATGAGGGGGAGGAGGAGGACGGGTCGCCGAAGCCCTTTGGAGAAACCCTACACCCCCAGAGGCCAAGAATAGCGAAAACTCTCCGTCGTAATGTTTGTCGCAGCTCGAGGATTCGGAGGAACCCTCCACCCCCATAGGCCAAGAATAGCGAAAACTCTGCGTCGTGATTTTTGTCGCAGCTCGAGGAGGAGAAGGCGGAGGAGGAGGAGGAGGAGGAGGAGGAGGAGGAGGAGGAGGAGGAAGGAGGTGGAGCAGGAGGAGGAGGAGGAGGAAGAGGAGGACGGGTCGCCTAAGCCTTTAGGAGAAACCCTCTACCCCAAGAGGCCAAGAACACCGAAGACCCTCCGTCGTGACCTTTGTCGCAGCTCGAGGAGGAGGCGGAGGAGGAGGAGGAGGAGGCGGACGAGGGAAGAGGAGGAGGAGGAGGAGGAGGAAGAAGAGGAGGACGGGCCGCCTAAGCCCTTCGGAGAAACCCTCCACCCCCAGAGGCCAAGAATAGCGAAAAATATCCGTCGTGATTGTTGTCGCAGCTCGAGGAGGAGGAGGACGAGGAGGAGGAGGAGGACGAGGAGGAGGAGGAGGAAGGAGGAGGAGGAGGAGGAGGAAGAGGAAGAGAAGGAAGAGGAGGAAGAGGAGGACGGGTCGCCAAAGCCCTTCGGAGAAACCTCCACCCCCAGATGCCAAGAATAGCGAAAACCATCCGTCGTGATTTTTGTCGCAGCTCGAGGAGGAGAGGAGAGGAGGGAGGAGGAGAGGAGGAGGAGGAGGAGGAGGAGGAGGAGGAGGAGGAGGAGGAGGAGGAGGGGAGGGGTCGCCTAAGCCCTTCGAAGAAACCCTACGCACCCCGAGGCCAAGAATAGCGAAAACCCTCCGTCGTGATTTTTGTCGCAGCTCGAAGAGGAGGAGAGGGAGGAGGAAGCAGAGGAGAGGAGGAGGAGGAGGAGGAGGAGGAGGGGGAGGGGGAGGAGGGAGGAGGAGGAGGAGGAGGAGGAGAGGAGGAGGAGGAGGAGGAGGAGGAGGAGGAGGAGGAGGAGGAGGAGGAGGAGGAGAGGAGGAGGAGGAGGGAGGAGGGGAGGCAGGGAGGGAGGGAGGAGGAGGAAGGGAGGAAGGGAGGGAGGAGGAGAGGGAGGGGGAGGAGGAGGTGGAGGAAGAGTCGCCTAAGCCCTTCGGAGAAACCCTCCACCCCCAGAGGCCAAGAATAGCGAAAACCATCCGTCGTGATTGTTGTCGCAACTCGAGGAGGAGGAGGAGGAGAAGGAGGAGGAAGAGGAGGAGGAGAACGAGGAGGAGCACGAGAGGGAGGGAGGAGGAGGAGGAGGAGGAGGAGGTGGAGGAAGAGGAGGACAGGTCGCCTGAGCCCTTCGGAAGAACCCTCCACCCCCAGAGGCCAAGAATAGCGAAAACCCTCCGTCGTGATTTTTGTCGCAGCTCGAGGAGGAGGAGGCGGAGAGGAGGAGGAGAAGGAGGAGGCGGAGGAGGACGGGTCGCCTAAGCCCTTCGGAGAAACCCTGAACCCCCAGAAGCCAAGAATAGCGAAAACCTTACCTCGTGAATTTTGTCGCAGCTCGCGGAGGAGGAGGAGGAAGCGGCGGAGGAGGACGAGGAGGAAAAGGAGGAGGAGGAGGAGGGAGGAGGAGGCGGAGGAGGAGGAAGAAGAGGACGGGTCGCCTGAGCCCTTCGGAGAAACCTTCCACCCCCAGAGGCCAAGAATAGCGAAAACCCTCCGTCGTGATTTTTGTCGCAGCTCGACGAGGAGGAGGAGGAGGAAGAGGACGAGGAGGAGGAGGAGGAGGAGGGAAGAGGAGGGAGGAGGAGGAGGAGGAAGAAGAGGAGGAGGAGGACGGGTCGCCTAAGCCCTCCGGAGAAACCCTCCACCCCCAGAGGCCAAGAATAGCGAAAAACCCTCCGTCGTGATTCTTGCCGCAGCTCGAGGCGGCGGGGATCAGTGCGCGTAACTGAGAAGTTGCCGCCCCCGTGCAGAAAGCCTCCGCTCGGGCCTTCCCAAAGGGAAGCGCCCCGTCGCCTCGCGCGCAGGCGCTGCGGCCTCGGGGGCGTCCCCCCCCCCGCCCCCCGCGCCGCCCGATCCCACGGGCGTCTGTGCGGCCTCGAAGAATGACTAGCCGGCCGCTCTGCGTTTGATCGGGAGTTTGTATACGGAAGAAGGGACGTGCGCTTCTCGGCAAGAGGAAGATGGTCGAGATGAGAATGAGCGCGAGGATCAGGAGGGCGAGGCCCGCGAGGGGATTCGCCGGATTCCCCCGATTCGCTGGATGTCCCGCACGTCGCCTGAAACGGAACATGTGGGGGCGGTCGATGGGGCCATTGACTCGGGCGCCAGGGGTCAGGATGATGTGAATTCCGCAGAAACTCCCTCGACCTACTCCGGATGTCGGATTAAAATGTGGGGGGTCACAACCCTCACTTATCGGCAATTTTAGACACCCCCCAGACTGGCTATGAAAGGGCGGTCTTTTGCCCAGACCCACCTTGGAACCCTCCAAGACAACTCCAATCATAGTTGCCGTGACGTGGAAGTCGGAGTGCCCAGAAAATCACCCCAACCCCACCCGAAAATCCAAATTTCGGGTTGGGGGGTGCGTGTTCCACATGTGTTTTTGTCAATGTTCCGTGACGCCCGCCCCCCAACTGGGAATGGAGGGCAAATTGGGGCCTTCGGGTTAGGTTGGGATGGCTGTGTGGGTGGTGATGGAACGGCCTAGGGTCACACACACACACACGTGTATATATATATACACATACAATTCGGCACAACTCAGAGGATTCCCCATATCTTGCATGTCTCATGCGTGTTCGCCCTCTCCTTCGATTTCCATCATTTTCAGCATCTTCCAGAGGAGTCAGCGATTCTTTCTGCCGTGTGTCTTTGCTCCCCCCTGCAGCCTCTCCGCGGAGAGGTTTCAGGATCGGCGATGTGCTCCCGATGGCGAATCCGCATGGTCCCCCGGGCGGGGTTGGGTGGGCTGCCGGGACCCTCTCGGCGATGACTGGGCGACGGAAGGTCGATGCATCCACCCTTGAGCCCGTCCCCTCGGTAAAGCTGTCCGTGAGGGCTGAAGGCGAGGAGGGGAGCAGGGACAGAGAGAGAGAGAGAGAGAGCCACAAGAGTTGGGCCTCACTTGACCATGGCGTACTGGGCGTTCCACTGCTTCGCCTGCTCGTCCGCCTCGGCGCGGTTCTGGATGAAGTGGTCCGCGACGCTCGTATCGAGCGGGTCGCTCGGCTCCGGCGCGGAGAGCAGCGCCTGGATGCTCAGGAGGATGGTCCGGATCTGGAGCGCTGGGCTCCACTTGTCCTTCAGGACGTCCAGGCAGATGCGCCCGAGCTTGTCAATGTTCGGGTGATAGATCTTGGTGAGGAAGCGGACCTTCGGGGGCTCCATCGGGTAGCCCTCGGGCAGGAACAGCTCCAGCTTGTACTGCCCGCCCTCGTAAGGGGTGCCTCCCGGGCCCGACATGCTGATGTGGAAGTAGCGGTAGTTGTCTGCGTCCGGCGCAGCCGTGATGCCAGGCACTGGTTCCTGCAGCGGGCGAGGGGAGGGGGTGCGTCAAGCGGCTGGGCCACGGTCAGGCGAGGGAGACCCCGTCGCCTCGACAGCTGGGCCAACTCCGGAAGGACATCCTCCAAGATCACGAGGCCCTCCGCCGGCCAAGCCCAAGAACACTGGAGGGTACCCTCTCCCGGGATGCACAGGACTGGCCAGCAGACACGAAGAACTCGAGGGCACCCTCCCCGAATCGACTTCGGCCCTATCCCTCGGTCCGACCGTGCGGCAAGCGGCTGGACCCATGTCAAACAAGGGAGATCTCGCCGTTGTTTGTGAGGAGGAACAGAAATTGCATAAACATACACTTTCGGCGCCGCGCGCAGATTTCTTGGATATGTGCTGGACCCCCCTTCGTGGCGCGCGGAGCGCGCCAGGGGCGGCGCCGGAGGCGCCGCCAGGGGGTTCCAGCGCAGATCCAAGAAATCCGCGCGGGGCGTCGAACATTTATGTGTATGCTGATTTATCGTTTTCGATCTTACGTGTGGCGTGCACCCTCGGGAGAAAGCGGAGGCTGGAAACAAAAATCGACGGGGGAGTGCCCCAAGCGGGGTCGGGGAGAGGCTCCAGGGCGGGCTCCCTCTGACCCGTACCTCTGCAACCCTCTTTGACAGAGGCCCAGGGCCACTCAAACAAAAAGATACAAATCCCTAGATTCTCCATGTTCTTTCACACGTTCTGGAGTTCCCATAATTCCCACATGTTCAGGGCATCGACGTTAGTTGTGTATGTATGCTTGTGTTCCTCAACCATCCCGTGGTGTTGCGCCCTCGTTTTGAAGAGACAGCGCGCGGATTTCTTCTTCTTCTCCTCCTCCTACTACTCCCTCGCCCCTCCTCCCTCCGTGCCTCTGCCCTCCGCATGCCACCATTTCAGCGCACCCAGCACAGCGCTTCGTGGCCCCATAGGGAGCGCCACCGAAGGCCCCATTGGCTGTGACCACATGCGCCCCCGCCACTCAGTTCGGCACACCCCTCACACGCTTCGTGACCTCATGTGGGAGCTACACCGAAGGCCCCAGTGGCTGAGACCACATGCGTCCCCGCCACTCATGTCGGCGTACCCCTCACACGCTTCGTGGCCCCATCGGGAGCTCCACTGAAGGTCCCAGTGGCTCTGACCACATGCGTCCCTCACTCAGTTCGGCACACCCCTCACACGTTTCGTGGCCTCATCGGGAGCTCCACCGAAGGTCCCAGTGGCTCTGACCACATGCGTCCGCCCACCCATTTCGGCACATCCCTCACACGCTTCGTGGCCTCACAGGGAGCTCCACCGAAAAAAAACAATGGTTGTGATCACACGCGTCCCCGCCACCCAGTTCTGCACACCCCTCACACGCTTCGCGGCCTCAAATAAGAGCTACACCGAAAGCCCCAGAGGCTGTGACCACATGCGCTCCCGCCACTCATTTCGGCACGCCCCTCACACGTTTCGTGGCCTCATAGGGGGCTGCACCGAAGGCCCCAGTGGCTGTGACCACATGCGTCCCCACCACCCTTGTCGGCACAACTCTCACACGCTTCGTGGCCTCATATGAGATCTATACAGAAGGCCCACTGGCTGTGACCACATGCGTCCCAGCCACTCATGTCGGCGTACCCTTCACACATTTCGTGTCCCCATAGGGAGCTACACCGAAAGCCCCAGTGGCTCTGACCACATGCGTCCCCGCTACCCTTGTCGGCGCACCACTCACACGCTTCGTGGCCCCATAGGGAGCGCCGCCGAAACCACAAGTTGCTCTAACCACATTCGTGCCCGCCACCCATTCGGGCACACCCCGCACAAGCTTCGTGGCCCCATAGGGAGCGCCACCGAAGGCCCGAGTCGCTCTGACCACATGTGTCCCCGCCACCCTTGTCGGCACACATCTGAGACGTTGCGTGACCCCATAGGGAGCGCCACCGAAGGCCCCAATGACCACATGCGTTCGCGCCTCCCATTTCGGCACACCTTTCGCACGCTTCGTGGCCAAAAAGGGAGCGCCACCGAAGGCCCCAGTGGCTGTGACCACATGCGCCCCCGCCACCCAATTCGGCACACCCCTTACAAGTTTCGTGGCCCCATAGGGAGCTACACCGAAAGCCCCAGTGGCTGTCACCACATGCGTCCGCGCTACGAATTTCGGCGCACCCATCGCACGCTTCGTGGCCCCATAGGGAGCTCCATCGAAAAGGATGCGCACCACTGCGGTACTCACAACTGCATATGGTTGGGCGCATGGGCTCTTCGCCAAGAGAAGCTTCCCTCTTGATTTTTCTCACGAGACCCCTCCACCACTGCACCCGAGTTTGGTCTCCCAGAAACGATCCGACTCCAGCTTCTGGGTCTCCTTCTCGATCCTCTTCGGGATGGCCATCGCGGGAAGAACACAGGCGAGCCCGAGCCACAGGGTCGCGCGGGTGGCAGAACCTAGCTGCTAGGCGCTGTTCGAGGAACAACGAGAGGCATAAGCATGGCCTTCCTGGATCGGCGACGAACCCCTCCCCTGGCGAGCGGAGCGCGCCAAGGGGGCCCAAACGCCGAGCCAAGAACTCCACGCGGACCCCCTGGAAGCTACAGTCGGACCTGGGACAGGATAACGTCCTTCCAGGACGTGAGACCCTTCGCCGGCCAGAAGATGATGCACGCGAACATCCAACAAACACGAAACACACCAGGGCACCTTCCCCGAACCGACCTCGATCTTCTGCCTCGGTCCGGCCTCATGGTCACGCCATTGTTTGGGGAAGCCAAGAAGTACCGATACCGCTACCCCCTGGACCTCCCCCAGGGTGCGTTCTGACCAGGATTTCGGGGCGAATCCAGCGGTGGCAACGAGGGCCTCCCAGGAGGCCCAGCAGGAGGAACACGGCCGAAAAGGTAGAGGGGTATGGGTACCTTTTCCTCTCCTCTGAGCGCTTGTTCCTCGAGCTAGGTCGCACGCGCGGCTCGGTCGCGCAGCTCCCCTCGAGCTGAAGCGGCCGCGCGGGCGGCTCGTGGGGCGGGCCCTGCGCGCGCAGCGGGGCACCTGGGGCTCGAGAGAGGCCGAGCACCCGAGGGCGGGGAGCCCTCAGAGGCACCGCGGGAGGCGGGGTGGGGCGGGGCGGGGGGCCCGCGAGGGGCAACGCTCGTCGGCGGCTCCTCCTCCTCCTCCTCCTCCTCCTCCTCCTCCTCCTCCTCCTCCTCCTTTTCCTCCTCTCCCGCCCCCTCCTGCCCTCGCGGTCCGCTCCTCCTCCTCCTCCTCCTCTCCTCCTCGCCTCCTCCTCGTCGTCCTCCTCCTCCTCCTCCTCGTCATCCTCCTCGTCGTCCCGTCATCCTCGTCGTCCTCGTCGTCGTCCTCCTCCTCCTCCTCCTAGCCATTTCGCGCCCGAGCGCCCCCCCCCCCCCCTGCCCGGGGGGGTGCGCGCGGGCATTCCACGGGGCGACTTCGGAATGGCGCCGCCCGTGGGGGCCATCAAGAGGAAGCGCAGTGCCCAACATCATCAGCTACTATGTTGAGATCTGGCAGCTGCGCAAAGGCCAGGACGCCGCCCTCCTCTTCCTGCTCCTTCCCACCCGTCGTCTTCCTCTTCCTCCTACCCCCTATCGTCGCCCTGGTGTGTGGCAGCACTAACCCGTGGGGAGCTGGCACAGGAGTGCAGGCAGAGAGCGGCCGCGGCTGGCTCGCGCTGGACGGCGTCATCAGCCACAAGGCTGGGACCAGACCAGGGGCATGCAAGAGCAGCAGGGACTCATCAGCTACAGCGCTGGGAACGGTTCGTGCGAGAAACCAGGCGAGCAGGGGCCAGCCAAGATCAGCAGCGTCATCATCTACACTGCTGGGAGCGGTTCGTGCGGCGAGCAGGGGCTAGCCAAGTTCAACAGTGTCAGATACAATGCTGGGAGCGGTTCGTGCGAGCCAGAAGGAATGCAGTGGCAGCCGGCGCTGGCGTTGCGGGAAGCCGAAGGTCGAACCCAACGTCGTCAGTTACAGCCGACGAGATGGACGGAAACCGTGGACGACGAAGGACGAGCCCGAAGCCATCCGCTATAGTCCTGGCATCAGGGCAAGACAAGCTGGAGCCATACCGTGCGCTGGAGCCAGACGCGAAGCTCTCTCTCTCTCTCTCTCTGCAAGCAGCGGGAGGCGAAGGCCGAGCCCGATGTGACCAGCTACAGCGTTGGTAGCAGGGCTTGCGAGGAAGCAGGCAGTGGCAGCAGGCAGCGGCTCGTGCGAGAAGGGCGAGCAGTGGCGGCAGGCGCTACTGGGGACAGCTCGTGCGAGAAGCAAGGGCACTGGCAGCAGCGGCTGTCGGTACGAACGGGAGATGGTGGCGAGGTGTCCAGCCTTTACCACACCACCAACTCCTCCCCTCCCCTCCTCCCCCTCGTTGCCACGGCTGGATGCGGACGAAAATGGGAGCGGGGAGAACGCGAAACGAGGAGCCACATCAGCTACAGCGCTGAAAGCAACTCGTGCGAGAATGGAAGGCAGGCAGTGGCGGCAGGGGCTGTTGCGGCGTGCCAGGAGCCCAATTTCGGCGAGAGCTCTGGGGCAGCATCTTGCGATAAGCGTGGGGCGAAACTGGAGCCCAATATCAGCCCGACTCCTACACCGACGCCCTACTGCGAGAAGTGGGAGGCGAAGGTAGAGCCCGACGTGATCAGCTATTGTGCGAGAATCGAGGGCAAGGAGCGGGAGAAGCGGGAGGCAAAGCTGGAGCCCAACGTCATCCTAGCTAGCCTATTCGGGGAAGGGCTCGTCACGGCCAACCTCATGCGAGAAGCGGGGGGCGACGCTGGAGCCCAAGAAATACTCGAGCGAGCCAGATTCAGCTCCGACGCTGGAATCAACTCGTGCGAGAATGACAGGCAGTGGCAGCAACGGCTGTCGGTGCGAGAAAGGAAGTGCGAGAAGGCAGTCATCAGCTACGACGCTGGGATCCGCTCGCGCGCGAAATGGTTGGGTGCGAGGCTTGCACGGCAGGCCGAGGGGATAGCTGGGGGCCCACGTCGTCAGCTATCATTCGAGAAAGGGCTCAGGTTGGCACCCACCTCAAAAAAAGCTCTTCTGTTGCAGCGCCTGGGGATAGCATGCGCAAGCATCCGATTAGGTAGCTGGCACCCCCGCGGCGGTTCTCCCTCACCTAGTTGCGCATTATCCTGCAGTATCCTCCTCCTCCTCCTCCTCCTCCTCCTCCTCCTCCTCCTTCCCCTCCACAATTACTCAATATGAATACTACTCTCCTCTCTCCCCTGATGGCGTCCGGGAAATATTCGGCCCCCCCCGCGCATTTGTCTTTTACACACAGGATTCCCAGGAATATGGTTTTCGCTTGGGTCGTTTTTCCCAAAATGCTGTTCTCGCAGAAGCGCTGGCCTCATTTTCAGGCTACCGCTCGTTCCGAATCGTGCTCCCGCTGCAACGCTGGCCTCATTTCCGGGCCTCGGCTCGTTCCGGATCGTGCTCCCGCGCCATGCCACGGCATGTTTTTCGATCCTTCCAGATAGGCCCCAAAATCTAGAAGATGATCTCCCGAAAAAAACATCGGAAGTGATTACACATTCGGCGCCGATTCGTTGATTTTGGGACGGCAGAAGCCCCCCCACACCACTTTGGGGCGTCGCCACACTATGCAATGTCAGGCTACGCGTCCTCATTTCCGCGCTTCCGCGCTTAGGTTGTTTTCCAAAATGCTGCTCTCGCTGAAACGCTGGCCTCATTTTCGGGCTACCGCTCGTTCCGAATCGTGCTCCCGCTGCAGATCGGCCTCATTTCCGCACTTCCGCTCGTTCCGAATCGTGCTCCCGCTGCAGCGCTGGCGTCATTATTTCCAGTGCCATGACACGGCATGGTTTTCGGTCCCTCCAACCGAGGAAACCATCGGAAGTGATTACATGCGGTGTCGATTCGTTGATTGTGTGGGCCGCAAAAGCCCCAGCCCACCCCACCCCACCCACGTTGGGGCGTCGCCTCGCCATGCTAATGCAGGATGACGGTTCATAAAAACATAGGCGGAACGATTTAAAAAAGAGCGTCTTTGATTTCGATATGATTGTTCAACGGGAGGAGGACGATTGAAAAATATGTCTATTACACGTCGGCTTCGAATATTGCGTCGAGTACTCAGTTTACGTCGTCTTCAAACATTACGCTAACTAATCATTCGACGTCGACTCTCAAATTTTATGTCAAATACCAATTCTACGTCGGCTTCACACTTTTACGTCAAATACTCGTTCCACGTCGGCCTCAGACATTATGTCTGATGATCATTTGACGTCGGATTCAAATGTTACGTCATCAGCTCATGTTACGTCATCAGCTCCAAGACATTCTGTCTAATACTCAATTGACGTCGAATGCTCATCAGGGCGCACGACCGAGGACGGCAGGGGGAGCGGTTAACACAAAATAGTTTCCCAGCCCGCGGCTGGTTTGTTTTTCTAGTCATCCTCTGGGGCGCCGCCGACGCAACATGACCCCCAGTCATGTATTAATCGTCATCCTACATTATGTCATGCTACGCTGTGATCTTCGACACCATGCTATGCCATGTAATGATATGCCATGCTACGACATCCGATTGTGCGAAAAGAAAAAAGATCTACGCCATGGTAAGGGATGGGGGGGAGGGGTAGAACGTCAGATGTGACGCGAGCGCACCTAGCTTGTCCCCTCCCCCTCCTCCCCCACGCCTCCTCCTCTCCCCTCCCTCCCTCCCCCCTCCCCCTCCCTCCCTCCCCCCTCCCTCCTCCCTCCCTCCCCCCTCCCTCCCTCCCTCCCTGCCTCCCTGCCTCCCTCCCTCCCTCCCTCCCTCCCTCCCGCCCTCCTCCCTCCCCTCCTCCTTCCTCCCTCCCTCCCTCCCTCCCTCCCTCCCTCCCTCCCTCCTCCTCCCTCCTCCTCCTCCTCCTCCTCCTCCTCCGTGGCCATGTTGGCTCAGGCGGGCCAGGCAGCTCCAAGCCCGCGCAAGACGGCGCGCGCCCAGCCCGCGCGGGTGCGAGCGCACTTGCGGCCCCTGGCGGACCTCGAGCCCGACGGCACGCGGTGCCGGGCTGCGGCGCCTGCGCGTTGGCCAGTCGGCGCCGACGCGAATCCAGAGATCTGACGCTCCCAAAGGTCTCGGGAGCGGCCAAGAGGGGGGTGTCCAAGAGAGGGGGGTGCAAATCATGACCGTCGGCATGTGCGCGGCCCAGCGTGGGGGGCCAGGGGCGTCGTGAAATAAGAGGAGGCGCCATGAAATCCGGGGAAATATCATGGCCCACGCCATGAGATCCACCCCCCCCTAGTCATCACCCCCCTCTCTGCCGCCCCCGAGTTTTGGGCCGTTTGCGGCCTCGGGGGGTCCCCGCCGGGCCTCGGGAGCGTCAAGGCACGAACGACTCAGGACGATCGGCCGGCCCTGGGGAAGTGGTCTGGACCTCCGCGGCCCAGGCATCGGAAACACTGGAGCAGCCGGATGTCTGGGGGGGAAGTGAGAGGAGAAGGCCCTGTGGGAAGGTTCGGAAGCCCCCCAGCCTTCCCCGGAGGCACGGAGCACTTCTCAGAAGGTCCGAGGGCTTCTGAGGAGTCCCGCCGCCTTCTGAGAAGGCCCTCTCCTTCTCATTTCCCCACCTCGCTCGCCGCCGAGATAGGTGGGACGGGCATAGGTTGGGCAACAAATCGACCTGGAACCGGCGATACATCGCCTATACGGTCCCGATAGCGAATCCGAATCTGAATGGGTGGGTTGGGCTATCGGGCCCCAATCGGCGATCAATGGGCGATTGGGGGTCGATGCATCCCCGTGATTATGCCTATCCACCTCGTTGCCCCTGAGCTCGGGGAGCAAGAACGGTATCAACGTCACGCCGGTCGGACGACCACATCAGCGCGCGGTTGCTCCAGGGCATGCCGAGCGCTGCGCGGCGGAAGCGGGCGAGCTGCTTGCACGCTTCCAAGGACGGCGCACGTGTCAGTGATACCCTCTCGCTCGACCGAGGAGCGCCTCTTGACCCAATGCCCTGGCCCGCTGATGGCGACGTGGGGCTCAGACCTTGTGACCAGAAAGTTAGAGCGATACAGTTATGTAGAAAGGGAGAGGGGCATCAACATTGCCATAATTAGCGGCCGGTGAGGATTACGCGCTCTGCACCACAACATGACCTAGTACACGATTGGTGCATGGAAAAAGCGCACTCGTAATTTTCCCCTCGGCCCAAAATGACCAGGCACCTACCAAGCAAACAACTCGAGATGCTCATCTGCTTCCTATGACTACCTCTCGGGACGCCAAAGACTTAACGTGCCACTCTTCGGTCCTCGAAGCAACGTGCACCGCACGCTTCTTTGATTCACCCAACCTTAAAGGGATCAAAGCTATACTTTATCAATCTATCAATGTCAAATATGTTCATTACGCTCACAAACAACACAATCGGGCAACCCCCTAAACTGTGAATCTCGCCTGAACAGAGGGGAACCATCATCCCAACGAACAAGGGGGGAGGCCCTGCAACATGGGAGCGCCGTGGTTGTATTGACGGCGCCGGTGGCAAATAGGAAGAGGAGGACGTATATGAGGTACTTCATAAAGAAGAAGAGGATCGTGAGCATCATCGAAGCCCACACCACGAACTGCGGCCCGCTCGTCTCCTGGTGGCTCGGGTGCGGGTGAGGCGGAGGCAGGATGAGGTTTTGGTGTTGAGGCTGAGTGTTGCGTAGCCAGGGAATCTGTGCACGCAATATAAGGAACAGCTCGTCTTCAACGCCCACTGGGCCGAACCAACTCTGGCTGGCCAATTCATGGGGCACACGCCTCTGGCGGGGGGCGCCTATTGGGTGACCGATGGCGCCTTGCTCGAAGCATCCTGCTCGCAATCGAAGCTTGCCGTCCCGAACGATGCCTTGGTAATAAGCAGTCACACTGATTCCTGATGCCTGGCAAACACGTTTGAGTCACACTCTCTCGGTAGCATCGCGTTTCAGACAATCCTAAGCCTAGAGCACGTTGGGACAAAAACAAAGCCCTACCATGACACGCACACCAGAGGGCAGACCATAGCAGGGATGCCCAGACCAGAGCACAACGGCTCCATGGTAGACTAAGAAGCATGCCCTAACAATGCAGACCAACTGAGAACTGAATATGCTTGTACACACCGAATAAACACAAGCGAGGTCATGGTGGGCACAGCAAACCATATATAACATCAGACATGTCGTGATAACCTAACAGGCGATCATGTAAATAACAAACCGAGCAGAGGTGTTGGACGCTTCTACTTTGTTAGGCTTTGTCTTCACAGATTCCTCCACATCCAGCAAGCACTCTGGGCGTAGGTGGTTTGGAGGACCAGCTCCTCCATAAGAACCCCTGCTCCCTCATCGGGGACGGGCCTACCCATTCCCCTAACCCCCCCTCTCCTGCCTGTGCGTCTGGACAGACAGGATCGCGAGAGCGAAGGGCTCGCCCAGAGCTCCATACGGCTCCGAGCGCGCCCGAAAGAACACCCCAACGAAGAACACGCGAAGCAGCGACCCGTGTGGCTCCGAGGCCCCGAGCGTCCAGACCTCCCGGCTGGCCCCGGCCCAGAACGTGGAACGGCTGGGGCCCCAAAGTCTGGCCAACCCCTGCCGGCGGCGGAGGAGCGGGCGGCGGAGGAGGAGGAGGAGGGGGAGGAGGGACTGGGGACGGGGAGAGGGAGGAGGAGACAGAGGCGGAGGAGGAGGAGGAGGAGGAGGGGAGGAGGAGACAGAGACCGACGAGCCGCGGCTCACCAGGGCTGCTTGCGATCGCAGCATGACGCCGATCCAGACGTGCCGGTAATCCCAGGGAAGCCTCGGCGTCCGGAGCACTTTGTAGATCTGTCGTGTCCCGCGGTCCCGCCTCATGGCAGCTCTGGCATGCGGCCACCGGCGGATAGGCCACGGGGGGGGACACTAATTGAGGAGTCCCCCCCTTTCATGAGCAAAGTAATTTGATATCCCCTGCGTTCACCTGAGATTGGCCTCTCGGAGGGTTCCTTGGTGCGTGGGCCCAACTTGTTCCAATATGGTCTCTGCTGCTAAAATGTGGCCTCCAAGATGGCACACTATGGCCGAGCATTGGTTAACATTGCCTCCGACATGCCTCTAACACGCCCGCAGGCGGCTCCAAGTGGTTTCGAAGCTTCCCAAGACCACCCCCGAAAGGCCCCAGTTATAGTTACAAGTGAGGAAATCGATGGTTTAAGACGTCTGGTGATCATAGTGCTTTGCTTTCGATGGACTTCTGAGGCGAATGCCACAGTAAGGGACCCACAAAAGATAAGATCGAGGACAGTAAGTGACCCACAAAAGTAAGGGACTGCACCAAGAGCCAAGGGTGCCCAAGAGCGCTCAAAGAGCGCCGAAAGCGGGCTCCAAGATGCACTTCTCCAGGCTCCAACGAGGAGGGGCTGACTAGATCAAATTAGTACCGCCCCCTGTCTGAATCGAAGTTCTCCGGAATGATCTCAAGAGAGGCCTCCACGAGGGGTTCAAGAGAGCGCCAAAGGCCTACACCATGGCCCCCCAAAAGCTCTAACATGGTCCAAACATATGTTCAAGAAGCTCCCGAACGAAAAATCCGCGACAGCCTGACCCTCAAGCTCATCCCGAGCCTCGATGAGACGGACGGCCACCGCCCTTTTGTTCCGCTGCATGGTCCTGCGCTTCCCTGGTACAGATAACTCGCCTGGGATCGCTTCTGCACGGGCTGGTGTAGACACGCAGGTTATCACTCGCCCCACACCCAATGACCCACTCATTCGGGGGAGACGAAGGAGGCGACTAGCCCAGGGGAGAGCAATACCTGGGCACAGGAGCGCCGGCGGTCCCTGCCTTCGGCGAGGCTCCCGGGCGAAGGGCGCACGATGCCCGCCTCTGGGCCGGTCGCCCCTCGCGCCGCCTGCCGAGGACTGCTTCGGGGCTGCTCGGAGGGGCCGGCAGAACGTGCACTCCGCTTCGCCCGCGTGCGAGGGGGGCCGTCCTCCACAGCGAGCACCTCCTCCTCGAAGTGGCTTTTCAGCTCTGGCCTGCGGAGGTCCTCGACGCTGTGCCAAGCACCTCGGGTTCGAGACCAGCTTTCGGTCGGGCACGTCCTCCTACAGGCCGATTTCGGACGAAACATGAAGATGAGCAAAAAAAAAACCAACGCAGTCGAAAGAGCACGAAAAGTCTGCCCCAGACCGTGGTTTACTCTTTCTGAGTACTCCTCCTGTAGAAAGACTTGCCCGACCTCAACCTATAGCTCTGACGGTTCCAACACCGGGCGGTGACAGACCGTGCGCCGCCCCCGAGATCCCCCGCGACCTCACCGCACGGTGCGCCACCGCACGGCTCTGGGGCCCTGGAGGCCCCCGCCGCCCGAGACCGCCCGGGAGGACGGCCCGAGCCCAAAAAAAACCAAGCGGTCGCCCCGAGTCCCCGCTGACTCACCACAAGTAGGGAGCCCACAAACGACGTACGCGCCCAGCTATGTACATGAACACGGCCCCTCGATCCGCGAGACCGGCCGCGTTCTACGAACATTCGCGCAATGCGTACTCTCGAAAGCAGCGTGGATTCATGTACGTGTACGTCCTTTTGTCGCTCCTGAACAAGGTGAGATCACCGCACCACTGGCTGGCCCCCGAAAACTGGCTGCGCCAGGCGCTGCCAGGTCCCAAGGAGACCTGGGCCTAGGCCCCCCCCTCTGAAACAACGGTGTCCATCGGAGGCAAACGAACCTACCTCGCTTTTGACCACCCTCGCTTCCAAGAGCTACCAAGCGGTGCCGAACTACGGCACGCACTGGTCAGGCCGCTCGACGGGGAGGCGCGTGGTATGACTTCGTTTTGCCTGGAAGCGAAAGCGGGGTAGGTAATTCACGCTCTGAGTCAACAAACAACCGGAGCCCCAGAACGGTGACGGTACGCCGACCTGTGCCGCTCCCGCTCAGGACCCCGGGGAGAAGCCCCGTGGGGCATATTCAAACCTCGACCACCAGAGATGTCCAGAAGGCTCGCCGTCCGAAAGTGTACCCTCGCAGCCTGGCAAGGCTGTGAGCGCCCAAGAGCCCCCGAGGGGCCCCCAAGAGGTCTCAAATACGCCCCCAAGAAGCCCCCAAGAGGCCTCATGAAAGGAGGGAAGAAGAGGAAGGAAGGGATGAAGACGACGACGAACACGAGGAGAGACACCCTGACACGACGCCGAGCACCGTGCCATATGTTAGGACGGCACTACCAAACCTTGGGACACGACGTGTCACTCGTTACGGCTGCCTTGGGCTTCACGGTGACGGGACTTGACGGTGACAGCACCCCAAGGAAACACCTGAACAGCATTTCGCCCAGCGCGATTTGCTACTTCTGGCCACTGTGGACAGTTATTACCCCGCGGGCCTAGCATGACGATGCTCACTGCCAGGACGCCCACAATGAACTCGCTGAACAAGTCCCAGTATGCCTTGGGACTGGCACACAGCATGCATCGTCGATGGTGATGCTCAGGGCAAGACATTCAAGTGTCCACACGACAGTAACCTTCGCTGGCGCACGCAAGCCTGCACGAAATCAACAATCAAGCATGCGGGCAGCGCCACGTGCGTACGTGGCCCTCGCCCTCGCGACGAACGGCCAACGGCGCCGGCGAAACCTCCGAGAACAACTACAGCACACATCAACAAACCAATTGGCATGGACGATGTACCAGACCGTCCAAAACGTTTGGCAGCGGCCAGAACGGCTACTAATCAGTAGGAAGAGCTGGGCGTACATATGAAATGAGAAGGCGTTGAAAGTAGATTGGGCTTCCGCCCGCCCCTGAAAGTGAAAAGGGAGCCAAGGAGGCGCTCTCAATGCTGCAACTATCAAGGCGCCTGGGGATCCACAGATAGCTACCTGTTGACCATCTGTTGAAGCCACAAGCGGCTCGGGAAAGCGACGGCAGCTCAGCACTTGCCGGCACACAGCCAAGCGAAGCCCCCGTCCGCGTCCGCGCAAGGGAAAGAGGGAGATGTGGCCCGCCAGACTCTCTAGCATCTAGGCGCTCCGACGGCTGCTCGGGCATTGCGTTGCGCTGCACGCTCGGCAGAGCCAGAGGAATCACGGAGCCGTCTGGGCCCGCGTGGCGAAAAAGTCCGCTGTGCGCTCTTCCGCAGCTTTGGGGAAGTTCTGACAGGTCTACCTTCGGCCGCATCCAGGAGAAGCGGGGGAAAGGAGATGAGACAAAGAGATCAAGGAAGAGAGGTGGGCGATGGGATGAGGTGGGAAAAGCAAGAGAAGAAACAACGCTTCCTCCGTCCAGAACGAGCACCCGACGCGTGAGGGTGGAGGACCGTCTTCCCATCCTTCGAGCTCGCCCTTCATTCGAAGCTCACCCTCCCTCCATCAGAAGACGATGTTCCAACCCTTCGAGCTCATCCTTCCGAGGAGGGGACCGACTCGCTCGAGCTCACCCCTCCTCCATCCCACACGCTCACCCTTCGCTCGCCTCTCCCAACACTCTCCCCTCACCGCGGGACCCCCGTCTCACTCCGCCGACGGACGCCTCGGAAACAGCCCACACGCTGGAGCGCAGTCAGAAACGGCCCTCGCTGCAAGCACGCTGGCGGCATTCCACCTCGCGCCAGCACGACCGAAGTAAAACAGGGCTAAGATCGGGATAAATCGCTCCAGAGCGTTCCGGAGCGCTCTCAGAGCGTTCCGGAACGCTCTGGAGCGGCCGCGGTGCCCAATAAATCCCCCAAACCCGCCGATTCTCAGAGATTTCGAGTTATCCCGATCCGATTTTGTCCCGATCTTCGCGTCGTTTTACAAAGCCTGCCGGAGCCGCAAAGGAGCCGAAGGAGGCCAAAGCGGTGTGCCGCGCAGCGGCGACGCGGGGGTTCGCCTGCTCCACCTTCCAGCACGTCGCCCTGATGGGCTGACTCCTCGGGGTCAGACTGCCGCTGCCGCTGCCGGCCTTTGCTGGTGCTGCTGCTGCTTCCCTTCCTCCCTGAGGGGCAGCGGTCGGGGGCACTGGCACAGGGGGGAACATCGACCTGGAATCGGCGATGCATCGCCGATGCAGTCGGGCCGTTTTTCTTTTTTTGCCGACACAACCATAAAGGAACAACAATTCGAAAACAAATCGTGCAAGCAGAAGCCTCAAAGAGCACCCCGGCCGCTCAGGGCTCCTGGGCGGCCGCGCGCCTCGCCATGACAGAACGCCCGCGCTGCGCGGCCTCCGCCCGATCGGCAAAGCCAGCCGCCGCCAGCAAGGCAGCAATGCAAGGCGGCCCTGCGCCGAAGGCCACCTGCTCTGGGGCCGCCTCCGCCGCGGCGCCCGCGACCCCAACGGGCCTCATGCCCACAGCGCCCGGCTGCGGCACTGGCGCCTGACTGGGGCCAGCTGCGGCCGCAGCTGCACGCTCAGGAGGCGCAGAGGCGCCATCCCGGCCAAGGCCGGACTGCCAGCGCCCAAGCGCCGTGGCCCAGCGTGCCCTCGCTTCCACAGAAGGCGCGAACCGATGGGCACCTTCGCGTAGCCCTTGTTCGATGACGGGAGCCGGCCCTGCATAATGTCGCTCCTGGCTTGCAGCCGCGAGCCTTTCAAAACCATCTCAGGAGGACAGTCTTTCTTGAGGCCACGTGCCATGCCAGGCGTACGCGCGAACAAGAAGCAACTGGTGCAAACCATCACCTCGCCCGGGCCATTCTCCAAGGGGGCCATCATCAGCTGGTGGCCGTTGACCCTCCACGGACTGGCAGCACCAGCCGCCGCGAGCCCAAGAAGAGGCCTGCGCCAGAGGCTGCACCGCCGCCGCCGCCGGGCTGTTGCTAGCTGCCGCGCTGGCAGCCGCCGCACCAGCCTCCTCCTCCTCGGCAGCCCTCTGGATTAGGAGGAGTCGGCTTGCGGGGGGGGTCGGGCGCGCGGGAGGCGGGCGGAGGCGTCGCCGGCGCCCCGCGCCCCCGGGGGGCTCCATGTTGGATTTCCCAGGCTGCGCCAAGCGCGCGCACGCGTTACTTGCCCGCGCGCCCACATTCGCGCAAGCGCATCCTAAGAAACTATGATTTGGATCGGAACCGGGCGACAGAGGGCATGGTGCGCCTGTCGAGGCTGCTTCTGGGAGCGACTGCTGCTGGCTCGACACGCGCGATATGCACGTGACGACTGTTGGAGGACGGGCGCTGCGCCGTCCAATCCAACGCGGCAATGGCGCGGTCCGGGGCGCGCGGCCGTCGCGGCACACGGCGGTCGACGTGGCCGCACGGGGCGCGCGATCGGCCGCGCGGTATTTGCGGGCCATTCGGCCGACGCTGCCGGGTCGCCCTCAAACAGCCCGCCAGGAATGCGCAAATGCGCAATGCGCCAGCGCGCCGCCAGGATATCGCCCTGAAAAGAACCTGTTCACTCTGAACGCCGACTGCGCGCCTCGCTGAACCAGCGAAGTCGCGCGGCGCGCCCGCGCCGCGCACCCGCCGCAGTGAACTCGCGGGAAAAAGGCCTCTCTGCATGAGTTCTGGCACCGATTCTGGCCTACTTCGCCGTTCTGGCCGATTCTGGTTCCATCGCCGATTCCACCTTTGATTCCGTATTGATTCCGTACTGATTCTTTTGATTCCGCTAGAATCAGGGGTCGCAGTTGTGCCGATTCTGTTTTGATTCTGTACTGATTCCGTACTGATTCCTTTGATTCCCCTGTGCCCCGGAGACCATCAGGCCGCGGCCCGAGCTCCCGCCTCGGCGGCGTGGTTTTTCCAGGAGCGCGGAAGAGTTTTGAGGGGGAGGGGGGCGGGGGGGGGGGCGGGGCGACTTTTGGGGCGCATCGGGCGGCCGAGCCACAGATTTCCGGGTCCAGTGCGCGCGCCCAACATGGCAGGCGCGGGCGCGCGCGCGAATTCTCGACCGTCGGCGCATCTGTAAGTTCATGCACCGCACCGCGCGCGGGAATGGAAACTTGCGTTGCGGTTTCAAATTGAACGCGCGGCCGTCGCAACTGCATCGCATTGCTCAGCGCGCAAAGCGCGCGAGCAGCATGGGGGGCTTTGCGTTCTCGCATTAGAAGTGCGCGGGGCCGAACCGAACGGTCGGCGGCGCCCGCTCCTGCGCGCGCGCGAGGCCATCGCGTCAGCGCGGGAGGCTACAAGGGCCTGGGCCGTCGCCCTGGGGCGCGGGCGCAGCGCGAGGCCTGCGCGGGTCTCTCGCGCCAAACATGCGCAACAAGGTCGGCCCGCCCGCCGGCTGGCGCTCGCGGGCGACGACGCCAGCGCCGACTGCGAGGCCGACTGGGCCAAGAGGATTCCTGAGAGCCCCAGGAAGGGGCAGCGGGCCGCGATGGAATCGGCGCGGTCGTTGGCGCCCCCCCCGCGCCCGCCCCCCCCTGCAAGCCGACTCCTCCTACTCTGGATGGCAAGCTGCAGCGAAGGGATGGGCTCCAGCTCCACAATGCTCAGCCGCTGGAGGCCGTGAGTGTCCCGCAGACTGTGCGTGGACAGGTACTGGCAGACCTGGGCTGAGCAGCGTGCCACCTCCTTGATCTGGTCGTAATAGCCCTCCAGGAGCTCCACGTCGCAGATAGAGCCCGCACCAAGTGCAGCCCCACGCTTCGCGAGCAGGTCCGCCCGCCTGTTGCCATCGAGCTGCCGCATGGTCAGGAGGCCTTCGCGAACGTGCTTCTCGCCGCAGTGGGCTGGCACCTTCACCGCGGTGACCTCCGAGAGAGCCTCCAACGCGGGGCTCCAGAGGTGAGCCTTCGGCGACTGCGGACCAGCAGCCTTGGCGGGGCACAGGGCAGCACGCACTGTGTTTTTGCAGTCGATATTGAGGGCGCATTGGCCTGCCATGTGTGCGGCAGCCACTGACACCGCATAATCCTCGCCATCCCGGGCCGTCTGGTTGACCCCTTCGGCCGGCGGCACTGCGCCCCAGGCCTCCGCCACCTTGCGGCCCTCGGCATCGTGCGCGACAACGGCTTCGCAGTCGGGGGTGCCGGCCGTGGAGGCACGAGCCGTCGGTGAATGCCTGCCAGCCAGCGCCAGCGACGAGCCCCTCTGCAGGCCAGCCTGCGCGGTTCCAGGCCCACTGCGGCTGCCAGGGGGGGCGCTCCAGCAGATCGGCCAACTCGGCAAACAGCCCCCTCGCAAAGAGCTCAGATAACGGCACACCGAGGCGCTTCACCCTGCTCGCAGCCAGCAGCACCGCCGGGGAGGCCAAATCCCTGCGAACAGCAGCCAAGGCATCGCAGCCAAAGCAACGATGGTGGACGGTGCCATCAGCGCTTCCACACAGCGCGCACGGCGGCGACAGGCCGGGTTGCTTCCTGCTGAGGCGGGCCTGGGACCACTCAGAGCGGTTGAGCAGCCTGCGCATAACGTTCTTGTGGTGCTGGCTCCAGCAAGGGGTAGCCTTCTCCCACGGGAGCTCTTGCAGGGGCCGCCAGGCTGGAGGGAGACGCCATGTCCAGTGCTCCGAGCTGCCGTTGATGGCACCGGCCATTCCCACTTGCCGCCTGGCCGCCTCCCGCGCCAGCTGCGCAAAGAAGGCAGGCGAGTAGCGCAAGACGGAGTAGGCGGCGCCATGCTCCGTGACAATGCAATCGGCATCGCCCCCCAAGAAATGCCAATTAAAACGCCCCATCGCCAGCGCCAGTGCTGATATCGGGTCTGTCACGCTGTGCCACGGAAACTTTCTGGCCTGCGTGGCAAGGGCCGACTGATGACAAGCGGAAGCCACCGTCGAAGTAACCTGGCCTGACCAACGCATCTGGACGTAAGCCTGCACCGCCTGGCCCGCCAAGATGACCGCAGGGCCCTGGCGCCAACCGGCTCGATGGACCTGAAGGCCGAGGTCCAACGACGAACCATTGCCGCACTTGCCAGCAGCCTTGGCCGCAGCCACCCGCAACGCGTGTAGTCGCCCGTCTGGTACTCCGGCCACCGCCGCCCCCCAGAACGCTTTCGCGCTGGGGCCCGCTCGTTGAACCGGCGCCTGCCTGACGCCCGCACCGAAGATACGCGCGAGCTTGGCAGCCTGCCGCAGGGGCGCATTCTCGCGGGCAATCTGGGTAGCCGCGCTCCTGCAGCTGCCGGACGTGGAATCCCCGCCGAGCTCCCGATGGGCAACGACGAACTTATCTGACGAAATCGGCCAGGAAGGCTGCTCCAATAAGGCATCGCGCATCGCAGCCGAGGACGCGAGCACCGTGGTCTTGGACCACTTGAAGGGCAAGCCGTCCCGCTTGAGGCCCGCCACAAATACAGCCGTGAAATTGCCAAGCTGTCTGGCGATTGTGGCTGGGCCTCCAGCGGCGCGGCGCGACGCGTCGTCAATCAAATTGACCGCGCGCCCGATTGAAAGCACCGACGCGGCATCCTTCAGCGACGTGAGCATACCCAGCTTCGCCAGCGTCGTCGCGCACGAGCACCCGGCAATAATGGTCCCATTCGGCAAGTACACGTCGCTGATGGCAGGGCCGAGGCGGGCCCGCCTGGCAACGCGGTGCTGCACGCACAGCGCTTTGAGTAATCCAACATCGAATCCAATATGAAGCGCTGCTTCACGAAGGCGGTCGTGAGACACGTGCTCGTAAAATTTCGATACATCGAAATACACCGATGCACTATCCATCCCGAGGAGACGGGCATGGTGGACAAGAGCGTTGTGGAGGCACGCTGCTTTGTCGCAGCATGAGTTGGAATCCTTCCCCCCAAACCAGTCGCAATCGATGAGCTTCTCCCGCTTCTTACAGTAGGCCTGGCGGATCCTGCCCCAAATCAGGCCCGCAGCGAAAGCAGGCCTAGCGGGCAGCGGCCACCCTTAGGCCGAGGGATGAAGATGTTGAGGACGAGGGGGAGGCCGAAGCTGGTCGGCGCCCCCTCCCAGGCCGTCAATACGGCAGCGAACCTGTCCAAGAAGCCCTGCCACAGCTGCAACATGAGCTTCGGGCGAAATGAATCCCAA